ATAAGAAGAAAAGAACATTAATTTGTTTTTCAACCAAAAATATTTGTCATCATAAAAAAAGGGGAAATTATTGAAACCCAGTTTCCCTAGCTTATGATTTTGATAAAAGCAAACATAATTGATTGAGACTTTATTTTTCTAAGCATATATTGTATATTATTTTTGTCTGTGCACACTAACGTTTCAGGTGTAGCATGCACAACTCAAGATTATTGAAGACTCAAATTTGGGTAGAATTGAATGTCAATCAAAATATTTTGTAAATTAACTTTATTATATTTTCTATTTCTTGAGTTTGACCATGTAAGGGTGCATGCAAAATTGGTGACCGTGCACACACAGACAGGGGGAGTGAGGAAAATTTGAAAAGTAAATTTTTTGAACTAATCATACTGTATTATTACAATCAAGCTGTACGATTAGTTATACAAAGAAGAAGCCTTGGCTCTTTTTTTTTTTTTGCTTAACATCCTAGAGTAGGTTCACTTATAAACTATGGCATAAGGTTTTCCTAAGGGTTCACTTCCCGGAGGACAATCTACTCATTGCCCACCATCATTAGATAATGTTCCTTTTGATTATTGAAAAAATAGAATTAGTCATTCTGAAGAGGGGAAGACTCTCGTATGTGGCACATTCTTGTACACCAATATCATACACTCACTAAAGAAATTAATGAAATTAAAGTTGAAAAACCTTTTAATGAATGAACTACATTAGAGAGGAAACTAGATGAGTTAACTGCTAGGGCATATAATAATTTGCACTACGTACTTCTTCTAGATGATTACATGAAAATATTTATGTTAAATTCAGTAAAAGAAATTTGGGGTAAATTAATTATAACTTGAAGGTACTAGTAAGGTTAGAGATGCTCACATAAATAGACTTGTTCATGAATATGAATTATTTTGTATGTCTCCTTATGAATCTATTTCTGATATACATACAAGATTTAAGAAAATAATTAATACATTACATTCTCTAGGAAGAATATATAAGAATAAAGACTTAGTCTATTAAATTCTTAGATGCCTTCTCAAAGAATGAGATGCTAAAGTCTGATAAAGTTGTAACACTTTAAGCACAACAATGATAAGGAAGGATGTCACGACACCCTAATCTCAATATTTTTTCAATTTAATTAAGTGCTCTAGCATCATCTAATGGAGCACTATAGTGGCAAAACCCTTATTCTTAGCACTCCAACATCGCACTATGGAGCACCATTACACTTGAACCCTTTTTTTTTAATCAAAATGACAAAGAACATTGCATCGTAATGGATAAAACAAAGCAACGCAGCAATTTTAAGGAGCTATAGCGCCAAGGAAACAACAATGTCGTAGCATTGGAGATGGTGTCGCAATGCCAAATTGCCCCATTACTGCAGCGTAGTAGTTGGGCCGGTTACTTGGTGAATCGACACATTGATTCATACCCAACGCCACAACAGATACATCTAGTAGCATTGTATCGCTAGTTTACTTTAGTAATGCTATCCCTTGTTGCACCACGGTGCTAGTGCTATTTATGGTGTTTAATATAAATGGTTTTCTGGCTAAATTTATGAGGGCTTAGCATTATTTTCTTATACAAAATAATGTAAGAGTGTCAATAAAGAGTGAAGGAGAGGGAGTGCAAAAGGGAAGTCAATTTCTTATGCAAACAACGTTTATAATCAATTGTAAAAGCACTTTCAAGTTACACGTACCCTTATTATTCTTTTGTATCTTATTTTTATCATCTAGTGAAAACTTTGTTAAGTACTTATCAATTTATGGCTAGGTAATTATCTTGTTTCAGATTTGTCATGTGTGAGAAATCATATTTTGCTTAAGTAAACTTTAATTCCTGCAATTATTTAAATGCAGTCTTCATTTCGCTAGTTGTTCATTTAACTTTTGCATAGGCCATGCATTAACTTAAAATCAAGTGTGACTTATTGCCTTGATGTAGGAAAAAAGGAACAAATAGAGGAATTGAAATGAAACTTAACCATGCATAGACTTATGATGGCTAGGGGTTTGGAATCTAAAGAGAGATAATCATTTTAGTTAAGAGAAGGCTTAACTTGAAACTCTTGCATGCTTGAAAGAGATTACGAGTGAATTTTCTCTAATTCACAACACATTTTAGAAGCGTCTAACTTTTGCAAACATGAATTTCTTCACTATCATAGGTTCAGAACACTTTTATACAAAGAACTCTTCATTTCAGCACTTGTATTAGAAACTTTAGAAAAATCTTTTTAATTTTGTTAATAGTGTAAATTGTGTGATTCACATAGATAGTACTAGAATAGTCGTAGTATACTTCAAGTCCTCATGCGATCGATACTCATCTCACCTCTTTATCACTTGAATATCATGTGCACTTAAAATTCAATCTTTATTATTATTTTTTCCAAACAAACATTATATTAATAAAATAAAAGAAGCACCGTTACAACATCAAATGGCAAAAATGAAAAGCAAAGGAGCAATACAATGAAAATTTAATGAAAAATGGGCTCAGTAGGCGGCCGAGACTTCCAAGCATCCTGACGTCAGGCGCACGGACCATCAATGAGGTGAAAAGCGCACCGAACCAAACCAATCGTCTCTCTTCATCACGACAGCCGATCGCCACACCAGAGAAAGGAGAGTTTCGACCCAGCAGATTAATAGACTGATATCGAATTGGCGGACGCATACCACTCTGCATTTGGCTATTTCTGATCGACAAAACAACAGAGACCTGAAAGATCGAAAGTTTAACAGACTAATAGCAAAAGAATTCAACGCCTTCTACGACCCCTACACGAGATTTCTCCCGAGAGGTAATCGAACGAATTGTTTCTCAGCATACCAAACGTAAAGTCATTCCAAGGATCAGACCCCTGTAAAATTCCGGCGAAATAAAGCCACTATTCGAATGATCGGATTCCGATTCAAATTCAGACGATCCGTGAGACCAATCTACATGATTACTAACATCAAACGCAAGAGTTAAACGCCTCAAAGAATTCACCAAACTGAGCGTGTCCACCACTTGAACAGGGACATCACCAACCACTATTGGAAACACACAAGTCACCATTCGAGCTGCTCCACCAACATACCTGCAGGAACAACTCAGGTGATATAGCAGCCGGTTCAATAGAGCAGAGCCAACTCAATAAACAGGTGAAACAGAAACCCCAAATCAGGTAAACAACAGCTCTCAACAGATTTAACCATTTAAAATTAGAGGAGAAATGGACTCAAGATGCCACGTCGGATAGAGGGAGGAGGCATCGGGGGATAGACAATGGCATCGGACATTACAGCAGTGACATCATGACACACAACGATTCAACAGCATTTTCCAATATAGCAACATTCTCCAAAAAGGGGCTAAAGTACTGCCGAATTTAAAGCTAGCAGCAAAGGATCACATAGACCCGGAGAATTCATCACAGGTAGCCATCCAAGCGCCATACTCACAAACAGAACATGGAAATCACCCGAGTTCCAGATTCAACAAGACACCCGGTCCACAGAAACAATGAATGCAGCCACTTTTAACATTCCTGCCTCAATAATTTTTTAGGTAAAACAGACGTTTCCAACACAAATATTTTAGAACGACATTCACCCATCACGCATGACCAAAAACACGAAAGAACCAAATGAAGGGAAATTCCATGGCCATAACGACATTCCTAGTAACAGTAGCCAAAGCTTTTCAGAACCTAACCAAAATTCAAATATACTTCTATTTAATTTAGAACTTAACATAATTATTATGCAAGTAAATGTAGCATGTTTCATCAACTGACAAACAATTGGATTCCACAACAACTCCTCCAATTAATTTTAAACAAAAAACTTGAAAGAAAAAATTACAATATCAAAATAAAAAATCTTAACAAGTGAATACATACTAAATAAACATATAAAAAAAATACTTGATTAATGCAGTGTTATGAAAAGAGTATGCAAGCTGCTTCAGGTGTTGATCTTATAAATTTTATGTTTATTTGCTCTTCGGTTGGCATACATTCCTTGTTTATTTAGCCATGT